CTGACGGGGTCACATGACCTCCTTCTGGTTTCTCCCAAAACAGGAGTTCAGCCAAAGTTTTTTATTGAGAGCTAAAAACAGAAGAACACAAGCATTTTAGACAACTGACAGGTTCAATTCAGGGGTCACCTGGTTACCATGGTGACTAGCAGAGGGAGGGACCCGTCGGTCTGCAGGTGAACTTGCTGCCTCAAATTTTAAGCAGAGCCAAATGACCCAGTCGTACCATCAGTGCACCTGCAGAGGGTGGTCCAACAGAGGTTCTGCTGTAGCTCAGAGTGGCTCTGATTAAAGCTTCCACTCCATGAACTAACTGGGCCAACTTTACAATCGATGTTTGGTTCTGGAGGGGAGCCCGTCGGTCAAGTGAGGTCATGTGACACTGATGATGATGATGCTCAGGATGTTTGCTGTATAAGTGAGGCAGAAAGCATAAATATCTGTTATTGATATCGGCCCAGATCTCCAAAGCCGTGCATCTCAAGTCTTTGTGCTTTTCTGGACATAAAAGCTTCATCTTAAAACATTCAACGAAGATTTCTTGGAGCCAGAAACCCGAAGCGGAGTTCATGAATAATTGGAAGGAAAAACCAGGAGCTTCTTAACTCCAGAAGGCGGGTCTAAACCTGTATGGGATTTTCTAAGGAATGCTGCTAGAATCCAAGGGGAGGAAACGGAGTAATAACAGCTTCTCTGCAGGATGTGGAAGATGAATGACCCGGCTAGCTCCTGCTGCTCTGTGCTCCCAGCTGCAGGTCGAAAACAAAAGCCTCCCTGCATGACTGAGCCATCAGGAGCTGAGAGGGAGGAGACGAGACGCTCCGACAAAAATGTAGAGCTGGGAAGAGGATTTAGATAAAGAGGTTGAACGTTTCACTCCCTTTGCTTTGACCCACGTGTCTGAGAGCAGCTGCTTTCAAGCCGATCCTAAACCCTGCAGAAAACAAATGGTGGAAATTAAGTGTCGTGTTTTCAGCTCTGCTTGACCTTCAGCATAGCTTCACAGACTGACCTGTAGGTCAGACGGATCATTAAACACTCAGCTCCTCTGAAGGAATGTTGTCGTATCCACGTCGTCTTTCACTTCTCTTTGGAGAGGAATGTGGTTTGATACGAGATAAGAACTAAAAGTTAAAGTTAGAGAATGCTGCATGCCAACAGAACCAGAACCAACTGTGAATTTGACTAATTTCAGCGTTTCAGTAGCTCCACACGTCACATAAAATAACCATAAAATAACTTCCACCTCCGTGCCTCAGAGCTGACAGCTGTATTTTCTTTAGTTGTCCAACAAACATTTTCCCAGAAGTACGGTGGCCCTGAAGTACAAACCATATCAACAAATGCTTAAGCATAACTAAAATAAAATAAAAATCATAATATATTCAGTAAAACAATGATATTAACCAACCGGAATAGATAGATATGAGTGGGAAACCTGAGAACTCTCTGATTGGATGACGGCACCATTTGGCTTTTAAACCGGGAATCTTTCTGTCTTTTCTGTTCTAATGTTGAATAAACGAGCATAAGGAAAGTCGTAAGCAGAATGACTTCTGGTTTAAAAACCAAAATGGTGCCATTGTCCAATCAGAGAGGTCTCAGGTTTCACACTAATATCTACCTCTTCCAGTTGGCTAATGTCATTGTGTTTCTTAAAATGTTTCTTTTCTGAATAGGTTGTTGCATTTTTTTGTTTGTTTGTTTTTTTGGGTGGGCTTTGTTGCCGTGTTTAAAGATTTGTTGTTGTGGTTTGCCCTTCAGGGCCACCATACAGGCGTCCTGCTCTTTGTCTACGTTCTTTCTTCCATCCTTCGTGTTTTCCTTGGAAGGCTAAAATCTCCTTATTGTGCCCCTCTAATGGTGGTTAAACAAGTGTTTGAAGACATTTTATTTAAATGTTAGTTAAAGTTAAAGACAAAAGTGCGCATTCAGCGTCTGCTCTGCCGATAATGCAAGCGTAGAAGAAGAAATGTGCTGTTTACCTGTGCAAAGAAAGAAACAACGAAAGAAAAATGTCTGAGGACTTCAGTGTTGAGGAAGAGCATGAGTTCTTTGCCGAGCTGAATGCGCACTTTCATCTGGTTTGGTCTGCCGCGGTTTCCGTAGACTCGTGAACGCGCTTACAGGAAATCCTATACACTACTGTTTATGCTCTGAAAACACTCTAAATGACTTCGTTTCGAGTAAATTCTGGATGCTACCCACTCAGGACACTTGGAATACATTGGACGAGCAGTATGGAGGAATATTGACACGTTTTTGTGGACTTTTATGGACCTTTCTGCCTCGGGCGCCATAGACCTCCATTATTTGAATGTCAGCAGACAGCAAGAAGCCTCCCAGATCTCCAGATGCATTTGAGATATCAAAAAAGTACTCCAGAGTGTTGTTCAGCATGGGGGTGAGTAGAAAATGAAGGCTAATCATGTTTTGGGTGTACTATACCTTTAATCCCCTAACACACTCACAGTCTTTTCTCTGACCTTTCTGAATCCATCATGGTGTTTATTGTCACCTGGTTTCAAACACCTGAGTGTGATTTTTCATTTTTTTCTAGTTGTTAATTAAAAAAAAATCTTCAAAAAAATGCAATTTTCCACTTCAGTGATATTCTGCAGTCCTTTCTCAGTTTCTCTGGGTTTTTCTGGGAACATAAATCTTAAAACAAAACCTGAACATGAAAGCAACTTTACCAAAAAAACAAACAATTCAAGTATTTAATAGGACCTCTTATATAAGATTGGCCTCATTTCAGACAGTTATAATTATTTCACTTTTGAGAATTTCCAATTGTTTAAAAATGGGTGTTTTATTTTTGTGTCCGACAGTTTAGCTCCTCTTCAATCAGCTGCAACGTTCAGATTAGATTATCATTGTTGCTCCAGTCTTATTCTTCTTGGAAGGATTTTTTTGTGCAGTTTTTCCCACTGGATGTTGGATTTTCTTCATTATTTCCACACTTTCCTAACAGGCTTGGCTTAGTACATCACTTCCTGCACACTTCCTGGTTCTAAATATACACAAATGGTTTTATTTGCTGACAACAAATGTCATATAAGGGGTGTATGGTCTTAAAAAATAAAAATCATTCTGATTCTTGTCTTAATATTTGTTCTTATTTTAAATATTTAGTTTTCTTATTGTTTTTCTTATTTTATGGATTAAATTGTATGAATGTTTGCGGGTTGTTTGTTATGGGACTATGGATGAAAATACACATTGTTTGTGTTTAATATGCACTCTCATTTTTAGTAAAATAAAATAAAATCAATCCATAGAAAAAAAGACAAAAAAACAGATCAAGAGAGGATCTGTAATTTCAATCTGATTAAGATTGAATCAACTTGGTGGAGAAACTGAAATAATCTATCTATATATATGTATTAAATTAAGAAACAAGAGGATGTTTTTATTGGTTTCAGACAAAGTTATTTTGAGTAGGAGAAATAAATGATGCATTTATCTTATATTCCTTAAAATGTCTTCCTGGATTCAGCAAATAGGAGCTGGACTCAACCAACCTCTATTAATCACTTTTGAGCTGCTTTTGAGCTTGAGTTTGAAAAACTTTCCTGTTTTTTTCAGTTTTAAACAGTTCATTTAATACCAACCAAGAAATGGTTTAACTGGGGCATTCCCAGTAGATAAGCATTCTGGCTTTGCATCTGGTTTTAACCATTTTAAGTATGAGTGATCATGAATTTCAACAGAATTTTGCAGAAAATTGTTAAAGTTTTTTCTGTAGTCTTTTGACGAACTGAAGTAGATGTTTGGAGCGCCATGATGACGTCAGGCTTTTCCAGCTCCTGGAATCCTGGATTCAGATGAACTTTGATTAGATCTATACTCAGCCTTTCCACCCCAACCTCTGAGTTTCTGTTTTAGAAGATTTAGGTTAATTTGTGTTTAACGATTTCTTCTGAGATGAAGGAGCACAGACATCCTGGTAAATCGGAGCTTTACCTGTAATTACAGAGAAGCTCTCTGGTCTGTGGGGATGAAGGAGGAGCTGAGCGGAAAGTTGAAGCTCTGGATTTCCTGCTCCCTCAGCCTGGATCAGGACAGATCATCTTGACTGAAAACCAGATCCTGGATCCAGACAGCTTCCTCTGAGTTTCAGATGAGGTGGAGCTCCATCATCCAGGGGAGACTGGAGCTGCTTCTTCTTCTATGATGGAACTTGTTGGTTGGTTCTTGGCATTAATATACTTTTATAGTTTCCATCATTTTGTTCTGGTTGGTTTGAATATCTTAAGCTTTAAAAGCAGTGAGGATAAAATCCTCCTGTGAGCTGCAGGCGGCTGCACCTCCTCCCTGTGAAGAGCAGCCGGTCCTCAGGCCGTCTCAGAACCCGGGTTCTGAACTCTGTCCCAGTTTCTGTGTGTGTCTGGTTTCTAATACATTGTGAGGCCCGTTTTCTGGAAAAATAGCACGTTATGGGGACCAACTGCTCCTTTTGGGGCCCGACGCCTGGATCTCATGAGGGGGGAAGGCTGTCTCTGTGTCATGGTCACGTTTATGGGAGTGGAGGCCTAGAGGTTAGATCATTGCACATCCATTCCACAGGTTCTGAGTTCAAATCCCACAGACAGCCACTCTGGGTCCCTGAGCAAGACCCTTAAGCCCAGACTGCTCCCAGGGCACCGCACAGTGGCAGCCCAATGAATGGGTTAAATACAGAAGGGAATTTCTCCATTATTAGATCAATAAAGTTCTTAATTAGTTAATTATTACTGAGGTATATATTGAGTTTAGTCTGGCGGTAGATTTAGGTATGAACCTGTAATATGTAGACTTACAGTCAGGCTTTAGAAATGAATGTAAGTCAATGTAAAGGCTCTGCAAAGGCAGAAATGTTTGTTATGTGGGTGTGTGTTTGTGCGTCTGTGTGTAACAAGCGGGTGTTCCTGTCAAACACTCATCCTGCATGACACACATTTCACAGATTAAACCATCACTCTTGTGTTGATGTAAATGAGCTGAGCTTGTTTTGTTCTGCAGGATTACAGCTTGTGATGTCACCAGCAGGCTGGTCCTCAGCGCTGTGTGTGTGTGTGTGTGAGAGAGAGGGGTTGTTCTGGAGCAGCCACTGAATCCCAGACAGAAAGCGACGACTCCACAGCTCGACAGGCTGCTCCTCTGAGCTCGACACGTAAGTCTGCAGCTTTTCTATCAGCTTGGGATTCAGGTTTCAGGCGCCTTTCTTTCCAGGATTCATCGTTTAGTTCATCTTCAGAGGCTTTGGCGAGTTTTAAAGGAAATATCTTCACCTGGAGGAAAGAAAAGCTTCTTTCTGAAGGAATTTATGAGCCGCCTTTTAGTTCCACTGCTTCTGCACAGACCGGTTCAAGCATGCAGCTTTAGTTCCAGCTGTTTCTGCTCATTATGTGTTCCTAGAGGCACCTACATCCTGCAGTGTGTTGGGCTCCAGTTTAAAGGAAGGAATCAGACTAAGAGATGAAAGGAAGGAATAAGAAGGAGATAAAAGAATGAAAAATGGTGTCTAAGTAAAATTGACATGAAGGAAGGAAGAGTAACACAAAAAAGGAATAAAAAGGAGGAAGTGAGGCATCAGTGAGGGTGCGGTGGGTTGTTGGGTTTTCAGTAAGTTCAGAAGGAAAAGGAAGTTTCTTTTCAGAAATTAGGAGCTGGAAACATTTAGGAAGGACAGCAGAGAGGAAATCCTGGAATGATGTTTAGATTGAGTTTAAAGTTGGGTCTCTGCAGGTGGAGGAACATCTACCATCATTTTCCTGATGTGCAGCAGAAGCTCCTGTGTTTGTCAGTGGAGCTGATGGTCCTTCCGGAGGCAGCCTGGGCTTCAGGAGACTTTCACACAGAAACAGACTTTCCTCTGAGTCAGATCAGAAACAGAAGAAGCTGAACGCCTTCTGAGATAGGCAAGCTGCTCTTTTTCCTCAGTCAGGGTCCAATCAGGTTCTTAGTGATGTTCAGAGGACTCTTTCACATGACGGCCTTCTCCCCAGAACGTGGGACTCTAGATTATCCAGAGGGCCGACTGGGGAAATCCAGGGGGCGTCTTTCCTCTAGAATCCCAGATGAACCCTCAGATTTCTGAGGAAGTTCTTTAAATGTTGTTCCTGCCCTCGAACCAAAGGGAGCATCCCGTTCTCTTTTCTTCCCGTGAAGACCTGATTGTTTTCTTATGTTGATGGGCTTCCATTCGGAGGGGGTAGGGACCACAAGGTAGCGTGGAATCTGTGTTGAGCTTTAGAGAAGTGAAACCAGGCTAGAGGAGGCTTTGTTTTGCTCCAATGAATCAGTATTCTTTTGAGAGGGTATCTAAAGAGCTCTTTCAAGCAGCCCCCCTCCTCCCCTTCTTCATCGGTGGGGGGCAGACGGGAGGCCTGCTGAGAGCCGGTTCTTTCTTGATGAAAGGCTGCAGGAGGAGCGAGGAGGCCAGCTGACATGTGAAAGAGAAGCAGAGCTTTAATGAAAGAGGAGCCTGTCATCTGTGAGCACAAAGAGCCAGCTCATATCTGAAGCATCCCTCGTTCCACAGAAACACAGAGAACAACATGCGCTGGCAGCAGGAACACGCTCTGCATACATTAGCCCACTTCCATAATCCTGAAGCCACCACCACACTCAGATTATTGGGTTTAAAGCCCCTCAGATTGGAAGAGGATGTCAGGGATCTGATCCGTTCCCAGTTCTGACCATCTGGTCCAGTCAGAGCCGCACGGATGGATCCTTCAGCAGATTAGAACAACAATAGAAGGGCTTCAAAGCTGAAAAATCAGATTATTTCATCAGGAAGCATCAGCAGGAGGCCCTGAACAACACAGTCTGTCTTCTGTCTCCATGGTCTTACGCCCCACAGTGGTCCGTCTGCAACAGTTTTCTGCCCCTGTTTGTCTAAAGTTGTTCTCTGTCGGATGTTTGAGGCGCGTTCTGATCATGTAGCATTAAATCAGACTGTTTTCAGATGTTAGGAGCTTTTTCTTTCCTCTCTGTGTGTCTCTTTATTTTTTATTTGTGTTATGAAGTTGCTATTTGCTTTGAACATCTGTTAAATATAAAAGCTAGATCATAATTGTTTCTTAACCACCCCAATAATCCGCCCCAATAACTCATTTTAGCTCTGAAACACACTTTGAAATGATCTAATTCTAACCTTCATATATATATATCATATATATATGATTAGAATAAAGTCGTAATAATTAGAGTAAAGTCGTATAACTGTTCCGAAAATAATATGCCATCAAAGCATAAGATTGCATGATTAAAATCATAACACTACAAGAATAAAATACCAACATTAACACTATAAAGACGTAACATTACGAAGTCCAAATTGTAACATTATGAGAAGAAGTATTAATACTAGGAGAATTAATTTGTAACATTTTGAGATTTAACTTTTAACATCTTGAAAGTAAAGTTTTGACATTACCAGGGTAAAGTCGTAACATTATGAGATTAAAAATGTAGCATTACAGGAACATTACAACAATAAGATTCTAACATTACAAGATTACAGTAGAAACATTGTAATAAAGGTTGATATATTACCAGTGTAAAGTCGTAAAATTACAAGATTACAGTCATATTATGAGTATGAAAATATAACATTAACAGAATAAATTTGTAACAAAAGCAGATTAAAACTGCAACATTAGGAAAATAGCATTTTAACCTTACCAGAATATAATGGTAAATTACTAGATTAAAGTCATAACACTATGACACTATGACAATAAAGTTCTAAGAGGTTGCAGTTGTCACAATATAAAATAAAAGTTGTACTATTATGAGAATAAAGTTGTTAATTACCAGCGTAAAGTTAGAACATTACAAGATTAAAGTTATAACTTTACTTTAGAGTAAAGTTTTAATAGTAGGATAACAAAATTGTTAAATACTGAGATTTTTTGACTAGAATATAATCGTAACATTACGAAATGAGTCGTAAAATTGTGAGAATAAAGTAATTAATTACTGGAGTAACATCATAATATTACAAGATTAAAGTAAGGTTACAAGTTTGAAATTGTTACTTCCAAGAATTAAACGATAAAAAGAAGAGATTAAAACGCCCAAATTATGGGATTAAAGTTCTTCGAACATTAGATATTGATATTGTAACATTATGAAGTATCTGCATAGTCATAACATCACCAGAGTGAAGAGGCAACATTTCGAAATTAAATTTATAACATTCATCGTTTTTATTTTTACAATTTATGGCAGCACATTTGCTCTTGAAAGACTTCAACCAACTATTAAAATAATATTTTTCTTGTTCGCTTTATCGTTTCTATTTAAAAGCCATATTTGAAAAAGAAGAGGCAGGATGTTTGGTTTTGGTGGTAAAATCATTCTTGAAAGGCGGAGATCACAAAATACTGCAAGATATGTTTGCTTTTTTGTTGTTGTCTTTTGTTGTATTTGCTGAAGCAGAAATAGCAGAAGAACCTGAAGGTTCCCTCAAAACGCAAACATGGCTGAGTGTCATTGAAGCAGCCAAACTAGATGAGTGAAGATTATAAAGAAAAACCACTGTGAGGTTTTCCATCAGCTGCATCAGCTTATCAGCTGTATTAGGATCAGTTTTTCTGTCTTTTCCTGTGTTCTTCATTCAGTTCTAAGTATTTAGTTTTACTTTGAATTCTAAATTTGTGTCTCTTTAGATTAAAGCCTTTAGTCGGGATCTTTAATCAATATAATCCCTATAATCTACTGACCTGTGAAGCATCTTCAGTAACTCCTGCATCTGTTTTATGACGCCTACGTCGCTGTAAGGGATCCATGCTGGGACTGAAGTCCTTCATCTCCTTGCTTTGCTGGGATTCAGGCTGAAACACGTTTGGATTTTTCTCTCTGCTTGTTGTTAATCTGCAGAGACTCTGGTCCTTTATCTAAATCTGATCTAAAGACTTTCTTCTTCTCTTTCTAACTAAAATATTTAATTCTGATTTTCTAATGTCCCTTTGATTGTCCTACTGTGTTTATTTTACATCCCTTGTATTTAGTATTATGTGTTGAGGCCTTTGATAATGCTTAGATTTTTCCAGTTTCAGCTGGTTTTCATAGCTTTCTGCTGCAGACGCGTCTCCAAGGCTCTTTGCTCTTATTTATGGTGATTTGGTCTTTCTGTGGTTATTCTAATCGACTGTTTATCACTCTGTATAAAACGTTGCGAGGGTATTTTGAGTCAGTTTGGGCTCTTTTTGTTTATTTTTTCTGTTTTATTTGATCCATTCTGTCTCCTTGGAGCTTCTCTGAGTCAGTTTTAGTTGTTTCCTTGTGTCTCTTTTGAGTTATGTTCTTGCATTTTCAGCGGTTTAAACCACTCTTCATGAGCCTCTTTCATTTTATGGGCTCTCCATTGATCCAGCCGTATCTGGTCCTCGTTGTGCTTATGTTGTCTCTTTGGAGCCGTTCAGTGTATTTCTAAGGAGTTCATTGTCTCTTTCTGTGGTTTGTTGGGTTTATTCTGCTCTCAGCAGCTTTGCTCGCTTTATAAAACATTTTCTGAGTAAATAAACGGGTTTTGTGCTTCCTTGTGACACTGTTTTGTGAATCTGCCCCCCTTTGTGCTGGAGCCAACTAAGCCTGGTCAGTAATCCCTCCATGTGCACAGTGATGTGCACAGAGTCACACGGGGCCCCTCCCTCTGTGAGTGCACATTTGTGCACGTGTCAAACTCAGTGTTGATGCTTGCAGCAGCTGGAGCTCTCGTCTGCTGATGAGCCTCACTGTAACCCCTCTGTCTTTGTCTTGGTCTCTGTAGGATGAAAAGTTTGCTCTCAGTGACGCTGCTGCTCCTCCTGGTGCTCACGCTCAGCGCCGAGGCCAACAAAAGAGCCAAACATCACAAAGGTGAGAAAGAGCGCAGCAGAATAAGGTCTAAACATTCTGTCTCTTCCTGCTTCTCAAGAATGCAGCTGGTTCACCTCATGCCTGCAGATGAGCAGAGGAATCAAGTTATTCCTGCACAGCCTGAATATCCGGAACTTAAACCAGGAACCAAATTCCTCCATAGTTTAAAGAAGAAAAAAAATCTGATTCACTGAAACATTTAGGGTTTTAACTGCAGGATGTAATTTCCTCATTTCACCGACACTTAGAGCTGCTATCACCCTTTGAATAAGCAGACGGTGTTTATTCATGGAAGGAAGAGGCTGTAAATGTAGGCGGGCCAGAATCTCGCCATTCTTCACGATCCATCTGGGTTCTGGTTCCACCGGATCAGACTCGCAGAATGACGACTGCAGGAACACCTGTGAAGGTGGACAGATGAGAAACAAACAATCCATCATCCCTGTCAGGATCCCATCCTTCCTGGTTTCTCGACTTTGTTTTCCTACTAAAACACTGAATTTAGAGAGTTCAACTAGTTTCCAGAGGAAATTTTACTGATTTCTGCTGTAAAGAATGAGGTTTGAGTCATTCAAGCATATATAAAGCTTAACTAACAACAGGAGATGGGAAGAAGAATAACTAATGTTTAACCTCACAGAGCTCAGTATCAGCGCACAGGCACTAAAGATTTTTCGAACCAATGGGACAGATGAGCTGCTAATTTCCATTAAAAATGTGCTCCAACCTTTTTCCATATTCTAGTAATGTTGAAAATAACTTTACCATTGTGTTGCTTCCATTGAATGAAAAAAAAACAGTCATGAGATTAAAAAAACATGGCCGCCATCATCCTCCTACTACTTCCTGTTGCCTTCTTCACCTTTTTCTCCAGTAGTGACATCTGGATATTGATCATTTGATGTATTCAGTGCGGGGGAAAAATAATAATAATACAAAAAAAATGTATTTCATTTTTGTGGAATAAAGAAATTTTGATACAACAGAAATCCCCCTCTTCTTGGTTGAAGGATTTTTATCGACAAACACAAGATGTGTTTTTTTTGGTTGGCCTCCATTACGCAAATTCATTCACTTTAATGGCTAATGGGAACACAGCTAGTGACACATTTTTATTGTGCAGCATTTAAAAACGTGGCGATTATTTGTGATTTGAGTCATGTTATAACGATAAACAATAAAAGCTTCTGGTTATTCACTGATTAACACAATTTGACTTATTACTTAATGCTCTTTATGTCAACCGAGAATAATTCAGTTAAAATTGTTCATTCTGTCTGGAATATTTCTGACAGCTTTTTAATTGTAGGCTAGCTAACAGCAGAGTTTATTTGGATAATGCTGCCATCTGGGTAGCTCAGGTTGTTGTCTTTCAGGAGGGATTTTAGAGCTACGTTTGAACAAAGGCGGATTGATTTGGTCCCTCAAGCTTCCATTTTATTACATTATCAAACTTATGCAGATGACACACAGGTGTTTCGCTCCTTTCAGGACTCTGAGGTCTTAACTGGTCCAAAATTATCAAAGTTTTTGGTGTAAATACTGTCAACCAGGTCAGCTAACGCTAACGCTAGAGCTAATGTCCTGAAGGAAGTTGGTAACCTCTGTAAGCCCTCTGACCTGTTTGCTAGTCGGCATCAAGAATCTAAAGCTTGATGACGTTCATCCTTGTTCTCTTTTTTTCTGTTTTTGAGAAAGAAATGTCATGCAGAAAAGAAGCAATTTCTCAGGTCTATGTTAAAGCTGCTACGATCAAGTAGCTTCTGAGCTTCAAACTGCTATTCTTATCAAAAGCAGAATCCTTTCATTCTGATGTTGGCATCATAACCACGAGTAAATATTTATGAATTTTGGACCTAGGGTTGCCAACCGTCCATTGAAAAATGGAATCGTTCCGTATTTAGAAATTACGACGGAGTATTAAGGCCAGGCTAGAGATTTTTTTCCCCCTTAATTTTTAGAATAAAGACGTAACATTACGAGAATAAAGTTGTAAAATTACGAGAATAAAGTTGTAACTAAAGTCATAAAAATTACAAGAATAAAGTCGTAAAAATTATGCGAAAAAAGTCGTAAAATTACGAGAATAAAGTTGTAAAATTACGAGAATAAAGTCGTAAAATTACGAGAATAAAGTCGTAACATAATGAGAATAAAGTAGTAAAATTCCGAGAATAAAGTCGCAAAATTCCGAGAATAAAGTTGTAACATTACGAGAATAAGGTCATAAAATTACGAGAATAAAGTCGTAACATAATGAATTTAAAGTTGTAAAATTACGAGAATGAAGTCTTAACATTACGAGAATAAAGTCGTAACATAATGAATTTAAAGTCGTAAAATTACGAGAATAAAGTCATAAAATTACGAGAATAAAGTCGTAACATAATGACAATAAAGTTGTAAAATTCCGAGAATAAAGTCGCAAAATTCTGAGAATAAAGTTGTAACATTACGAGAATAAGGTCATAAAATTACGAGAATAAAGTCGTAACATAATGAATTTAAAGTTGTAAAATTACGAGAATGAAGTCTTAACATTACGAGAATAAAGTCGTAAAATTACGAGAATAAAGTCGTAACATAATGAGAATAAAGTCGGAATATTACGAGACAAAATTTGCAATGAGAATAGTCATAAAATTATGAGAATAAAGTTGTAAAATTAAGAGAATAAAGTCCTAAAATTACACAAACGTGTATTTTTGACAGCTCCTACAAGTAGCACTTTCTTCACTAAAATGAGGAATGTGGAGCATCATGTGAAGTTATACTCTGGCTCTTGTTTGACAAATAAATTGGGCGGTAGGTCAAAGTGGACTCTGGTTGCTGATTGGGCCCTGTCCTGCGTTGTGACCAATGAGGTGACAACATATATGTAACAATCCAGAATACCCTCATCCTCATAAGAATTTTTTTTGTTTTATTTTGCACTTCTAGATGGTCAGTGGATGTGTATATTTTTTTCCAAAGTTAATTGTTTTTGATGAAACCTTTGCAGCTATGACCTTAAAAACTTGTCTGACTGTAGATTTATCAGCATATGCACACTGAGCATTCCACGTGAGGATGACTACAGAACCAAGATGGCTGCTATAAAACCACAGAGTTTGGAGGATTCTCCAAGCTTTTGTTTCTTGTTGAGGTGCACATTTTGACCCATCATAGCAGAACCCACCTCTGGATGTCCGGATTGGAGATGAGCCTGAAATGTTGAATGTGTCTTTTGTTTTCTAGGTGGAAAACATGATAAAAGCCGGTCTTCCACTGAGTGCTCCCTTTCAGAGACCCAGTACGGGAAATGTGTCCCGGAACACGGAGACTGTGGAGAAGGACTGAGAGAGGCCACCTGCAAAGATCGCACCGAGAAGCTGCACTGCAGGATCCCCTGCAACTGGAAGAAGGACATCAGTGAGGCTCACACTGACGTCACATCCTCACACAGGGGTCATCTGACTGAGAATCACAGAAAGGGGGAGGGGCTTATCTGCTAACCAGATTAGCTCCACACTAGGACATAAAACAGATTTTAAAGTAGTTTGATTGCTGAATTTGTTGAGTGAACGAGTCACATTAATTAACTGAAGCATGGCTCATCCTGGTACTCAATGTTTAACACGTCAACGAATAAATAATCTGTTAAAGATCCCATTCATTCTCCTGTATCAAAGCAGGTGATGAGTGACAGATTCTTACTTTGAACATCTAAATTTTAGATTGAATCTTACTTTGAAAATAAAGCCCGTTTATTTTCTATTCATTCGGTAATAATCAGTCATGAACTGATTAATGAGAGGATCAAAGGCTCCATGAGGGATCTGAGCTGGTTCCCATGGTGATTTCAAACATGTCTGGCAAGCAAAGGAGGCCACAGCAGCACTCCTTCATCAGATCAGATCAAACTTTAAGTCCACACTGGCTCATTTTATGTTCCTACTGGAGTACATCTATGTCATCCCATAGATGATAGAGACACCCTGGATGGAAGGACACAGGAATATTTAGATGAAACTGTGATTGGAAAGGCTGTTTAAGTCAAAAAGTAGTTAAAGAAGGGATCTGTTATTGTGGGCTGGAAGCAGCAGGTGACTGGATGTGATGTCTTCTCAGGTGACTGCAAGTACAAGTTTGGAGCGTGGAGTCCATGCGACGCCGCCACCAACACCAAGAGCCGGTCCGGGACGCTGAAGAGAGCTCTGTACAACGCAGACTGTCAGACCACCGTCAAGGTGTCCAAGCCCTGCTCCCACAAAGCCAAGAAGACCAGAGGTGAGGCACGGGGGAGAGCGAAGGGACAGAGGGCGCCATCAGGATCAGGAGCTCTGGGAACATCAGAGAATAGGACTATCAGATCCAGTTTAATTCCTGCAGGATGTGCAGTTTATTCATCTCACTTTAAAAATACAAATAATTTCACAAAGAAGATCAATTAATTAAAAAATGTTTCATTGATTTTGACTAAACCATAGAAACCAGCAGAACAGAGGCTGATCGGGGTAGGAGGAATAGAACCGATTGAACAGAAGCTTAACTTACTTTTCTGTCTGCAGGAGAGAAGAAATCAAACTGAAGAAGAAAGTAAACCAGAAGACGAAGGAGTTCTCCTCCTCCTCCTCCTCCTCCTCCTCCTCCTCCTGCAGCTCAAAGTTGCCTTCTTTTCTTCAGACCTAAAACCAGAGACTCCAAAACAGACTTCCTGTCCTCAAACTGATCCCATCTGACTTGCTGATTCCTGCTCCCATTCCATGCTTTCCTTGGATCTAAGCTTTAGCTGGTCAGAATAACCTTTGTTCAGTAGGTGATAGTCCCCCCCCCCCCCCCCCCCCCCCCCCCCCCCCCCACCCAACCCCTCCAGTAGTCATTAGAGGCAACCAATGATCCTCCAGATCCTCCACATCCAAACTGAAGGAAAGTTTATTTTTGGAATTACAGATTATTGATGAGACTTGTACAAACAAACAAATAAATGCTGTACATTGTTTTGGTGAAAACCGTGGTGTGTTTTATTCAAGCAACAGAATTTATGAAGCAGACTAAAGGTGTTGAATCTGAACAGGTCCCTGTGTCTAAAACTGTCTGTTTGGCGCCCTCTTCTGGTTAAAAGGGGTTACAGCGTCTGAACTGAAGTCAGCAGCTTCCTCTGGGAAGAAGAGGTTTATTTAGGGACCAATTGAAAACTAAGTTAAGTTAAATAATTCCTTGTTTTGATAATTCAGTATAAAAGTTAGTAAAAAAAAAACATCAAAAGAAAACAGTAAATGCATTAAAATTGGTTAAAAACCAGTCTGCATCACCGACCAGTCTTTTTTTTTTAAGTTTGCTGACAGTCAGTCACATGACCTAAAAGCTGTTGGGGGGGGAAATATATACATTTTGGAGAGAAATCATGACTGAAAGAAGTCTGTTCTTTCTAGACTGAAATAATGATCTGGTATTTATTTTGTGTCAAAGGGTCAGAGAATATTACTGTAACGGATTTTCTGTTTGTTTGTTGGAGCAGATCCACACATAACCTCTGAGCCAGGAGTTCAACGTACATAGTCATGTTTTGTTTTTGTCTTTTTTTTGTTTTAACAAGTCAGCATAGTAGTATTTTTTAATTTTTGTCTTTTCGGCTTTGGCCTATAAATAGTCTCTACTTATTTTGTACTTTTTCAAGTCAGGCTTTATGCTACATTCAGTCATTCACGCACACACTGATGGTGGTAAGCTACACTGTAGCCACACATGCCCTGGGGCACACCAATCGAAGCAAGGCTTCCGTACACTGGCACCACCAGTCCCGCCGACCGCCATCGGTGGGCAATGCAGGTGAAGTATCTTACCCAAAGACACAATGAGACTGAAAGTCGGAGCTTCAGGAAACTGACGCCACTATCGCCCCACTGTCGTGATCATTTTTGCTCAAATTTAGTAAATGTAGCCGTTCAGTGGAAAAAAAGTAAACCTAGATAGGTAATTTTTTCTTAAAATAAGTGCATTTGTTCTTGGATTGAGGAGGTAAAAGAGCCATTTTGCCAATGGAACAAGACATTTTGAATTTAAAATAAAACACAATTGCATTGTCTTATTTCAAGTGCATGTTATCTTGTTATTTTAAGAGTAAAAATACTCATTCCATTGGCAAACTATCTCATTTACCTCCACAAATCAAGGATAAATACATTTAATTTAAGAAACTTTTACTCATTTCTAGATTGTTTTTCCAGTGTTCTGTGTATATTTATCATAAAGTCATCTGACTGGAGTATGGCCCTCCATGTTTACTAATTATCCAACAAGCCAAAGAGCTGGTGGCGAGTGAGTTTTCCAACATCAGGAGTAAAAAGGTGCAAGAAGATGTTTGATTCAAAATGGGATGCAACTCAAGAAAAAACAGTTGTGAGTTTAGTGAAGCTAAAGCTCAGGCAGCCTTCTGTTGTTAGACACGTGAGCAAATGTTCTTGCTTATAGTGCTATGAGTGTTAGCAACACTTTAAAGCTCTACCCTTCCAAACGAAGAGGTTCTGAATAGTAGTTCTTCAGAGAAATAAGCGGCTGGTCAGCCTGCTTCAGTGTTGGTTTAGCTTCCTGCTGCCGCAGCTCAGCAGGCAGCAGAAGGTCTTCCTAAAGGTGACGTTGCACAGCGAGTAGCAACAGGGGTTGATGGTGCTGTTGACATAACACAGCCAGTAGCCCGCAGTCCACAGACCGTCCGGGATTCGCATGTGACGAAAGGCGCCAATGACCGCCATAACGTTGTAGGGCGTCCAGGTTACGATGAAAGCCAACAAAATGGCGAGGATGGTGTTGGTCAGCCTCCTTTCTCTCGCCATCGCCCGGCGCCTCCTCCTCTCCTGGGACCTGAAGCTGGGGCAGGAAGACAGCGCTGCAGAGGCTGAGCTGTGGAGGTCAACGATGGACGAGGAATCTGAGGAGGTCCGGGAGAGATGCTGCTGATCAGACAGACAGGTCAGTTTAGGACGTAACTACTTTCTTCAGTACTAAAAATGAGAAACTGTACCCACCGGGCGTTTGCAACTGTCCAACTTGTCTGCCTTGTCCACTGGACTTCCGGATGTCCCTTGCCGATGCAGAGACAAATCTGATGACAGGCTGCTGGCCCCCCAGCTGCGTTGTCCCAGGAGAAAGTTCTTCACAGCTGGACGGGACAGGCTAAGAGTTCTCCGCCCGTCCTGAAAGGCTGAAAGTCGGTGGCGGCTGGCCACGGACAGGCGGCTGTACAGTCCAATCATGACCAGCGCAGGCAGGTAAAAAGATAGCAGTGTGGTTCCCATGGTGACGGCTGGGCTCGCCAGAAGATGGATGTAACACTGTCCATCAGGGATGACCCTCCTGCCGCCCGCCCTCTGCCAGCACAGGATGGCAGGGGCCCACAGGAGGAATGACAGTAGCCAGGCAGCTCCGATCATCAGGCCCGCCATATGACCCGTTCGACGCACAGGGTAGCTTAGAGGCCATCTGGTGCACAGGTACCGGTCCAAACTTATCAGCAGCAGGTTCAGGACAGACGCATTACTCACTACATAGTCCAGAACAAGCCATGCGTCGCAGAGCTCTGGCCCCAGGGGCCAGTGGCCCCTCAGGCTGTACAGCGTATACACGTTCATTGACAGCAGTCCAATCAACAAGTCGGCTGCTGCCAAACTCACCAGAAAGTAGTTGTTGATTGTCCGTAGGAGGCGGTTGACTTTGATGGAAAGGATGACGAGTGTGTTCCCAAGGACAGTGAGGATGCTTAGAGAGGCCGTTGCCATGCCAATCAGAACAAGCTCAGCAGTGCCGTATGGATACGGCGCCTCGATCCAAGGCCCCGAAGAGGTGTTGTAAGGAGGGTGGAGCCAAGCAGAGGTGTTGAGGGTGGGGCCTGTTGTCAGTTCCATGCTTCCTGCACACAAACAGATCAAAAGCTACGTGACCCGAGGCCTGACACTGCGTTTATCTGGACCGATAGGTCAAGGGACGATGTAATAAGCAAGCCACTGCTAGCAAAACATCCCATAATTTGACAAACAAGAACATTAGATAAACCCAAGCGATTACTTCATTCTAAACAACATCAGCCATCTTAGATCCTGAGGTCAGGTCCAGCATCCCCATTGTGGATTACAACTTCAGGAGACGTCCCTGTTGATTTTCCTACCGCGAATCTATAACATCCAACAATGATGTACACAGAAAAAGCCAAGTGATGTGCAAATGGTGAGGCCCAAAAAGTGAGAGGGCACTCCTCAACTTCAGTGTTGACGCCGGCAGTAAAGGATGCTGTCAGGTCCTACCACCCAGGTTAAAGTCATCAAGGTGGTCAAAAAAACTCCATTGCAAGGCTTGGGGGTGAATAAGATCCACCCTGAGAACCTTACGTCTCTAGATGTTGTTGAGCTATCATGGCTGACACGCATCTTCAACTTTGCTTGTAAGTAGAGATCAGTGCCCCTGGACTGGCACATTGGAGCGGTGGACAAGAGGGTGTGTTCCAACTAAAGGTGGAACACACTTCCCAGCCTCCCCAGGAAGGCCTGTACCAGGGGCTGGAGAGGAGAGCCTGACTGATTGCACTGGGCTCCTCCCAGCAGAGCTGGAAAGGGTTTGTGGGACAAGCCACACATGATATGAATACAAGTACCTTTGATCTAGTTTTTGGCGTTACAGTCCAAAGATTCTTGTACATTGCCCCCTGCTGGCTCAGGATGAGTGAGATAACTATGTCATATCTCCCCTAAATATAAATACTGCAAATGAGTTTTTGATATAAAATCTATGAAAGCACCAGCATTTCAAAAGTGCTTGTATATGATAACTGAAGACTGTGAAATTGACTTTGACTTGCCTAAAAACCGTGGCAAAATGAGCCTCCTCTCTCTGAGGAGAAATTCCACGTTTCAAAGTTTTCAGCCGTTGATTTATCAGCTGTAATGTACTGGAAGGGAGGCAGTGTTTGCCAGCAGGCAGCAAGAACCTGAAAGAATCCCCCATAAAATCTCATCACAGGATCTACAGCAGGCTGTAGTTCCTGAAATACAACAGATGGAAACCTTCTGGGATGATGTACTTTGGAGAGATTACAGAGACCTCACTAGTGGGGACTATTAGTCGCCTGCTACGCTGAAATTAAGGCTGAGAGTCATTTTTTTATAACCTTAAAAGCACTTTGACTGACATCTGGGCTAATTCCTACAAGATGTTATGCAGTGCTTTTTAGCACAAATGCTGGCTTGACTAAAAGCTTAACTAATGTCTGTAAATGCCAATAACATGTCTTTAAATACCAACTAACTATGTTCTGAAAACCAAATGGCTAATTTAGTCAAAGGAACCAACCTGAGATCATCTCAAATATCAGCTTTAACAGTGAAATTATGTTTTCTCATAAAGAGAAGTTATTTGCTGCTGCTCATCCTGACGCGGTTATCTGTGCCGTTCCTGATTTAAGCTCTAAAGCAGACCCGTTATGAAGGATCTCTGATCCAGCAGCAGCCTAATGATCACAAAGTTAAACAAACCAGTTTGGGTCTCTGCTCTTCATCAAAACACTTTCCTGACCGTCAGTCTGCAGGTTTGCTTCAAACATCTTCTAAAGCACAAAATGGGACCAAGGAGTGAAATCTTACCTCTGATGATGGAACTGCTGCAGCGACTCAGGATGTTCAACAATCTGATCCACAATGAGAGGCTTATAAAGGTCTGAGGAAGAGCTCGTCCCTCCTCATCATCACAGCCACACCTTCCCATCAGCTGCTTCTGTAACTGACCTCAGATCAGCCTCACTGTCAGTGGAGGCAGAAGGCTGTCTTCATCACTCACAACAGCAGCAGATTTCACACCAATAGCTGAAAAATCAACAGCAGAAAAAACCCTGAAAAACAGATTAATCTTATAAAGATTAGATATAAATAAATACCTTTAATCAAACTATAGATGAATGCAGAAAACTGTTTAATCACATCAGACTGAAACACATTTAGTACAGATTCAATGGATTGACATTCAG